TTTCTCTCTCTACTCGGGAAGTAGGTAAAAGACCATTTTACCCCTCCATGGTCTCCATTACTCACGATTGACCCAACCCTAAAGTCAACAGAAGTTGAACTCGAGTCAACAGTCCTTGTTTGACCAGACTCGTCGAGTGCACTCATGTAACTCGTCGAGTCCACTCGTATCCTCAGAAGTCTCGTGAAGGTTCCACTCAGCTCGTCGAGTAGACCCCCAACTCGATGAGTTATCGCTTGGCCGCGAACACCGAGACGGACCCGAACCGACTCGTCGAGTCAACTCATGGAGTCGGCAAGTTTACTCAATCAAATCTCCCATTCAGACGTTCAAAGACAGATCCATTACTCCAAACCCTAGATCTAGCCTCCTAAGGTCCAAAAGTCACGTAAAGTTTTGATCTTGATGACCATGCATAGCATATATTGCTCTAAATTCCATCACAACTCCAACAAGGGCACCAAAACACAATAACTCTTTAAGTGACTGAATAAAGCTTGAGCCTTTGGACCCTTTGGACCTCACAAGGTCCATATATGAAGTCTAGACCTAGAAAGGGACTCCATGTACTCATATCTCAACAAAAAGGTGATAGAAAGCCCTATTTATCAAAAACATGAGATCTAATCACCACAAGGAGAAAGGTGAGAACTTTTTACCTTCTCCAGAAGCTTTTGGACGAAATAACACTGATCCACTGGCCCCCTTCTTGTTCTTTGATGAATCCTTCCCTTCCTCTTTAAAAGAAATGTACCAAAAGACCCCAAAATTAGCTCCTTTCACACTCTATAGCTCAAAAGGACGTTAGGGTTTACTCTCAGTGAAGGTGAGCCACAAATGAGGCTATAAGTGCCCTTAAATAGGTCCCAAACCCGGGGATTTAGGGTTTCACCACACAGCGTCTACTCGGTGAGTCGACTCTCGGACTCGTCGAGTAGACTACTAATCCCTCGTGGCAAACCACGACTCTACTCGACGAGTTAGACTCACAACTCGTCGAGTCACTCAATAAACCTCAACATTAACCACATGAAATAATATACTTGGGAGTCCGGATGTTACATTTTTACTGCAAGGACAAAGTGTCAAAGCCGCTAAAGATTTGTGGCAAAACCCTAAAGGCATAAAAACTTAATCAAAACACAAAAATGTAAAAGTTTTCACTTCAAGTATGAAAAATGTCAATTTCACCAAACATTTGTGGCAAAAACCTAATGACAAAAACACAAAAACCTAAAGACACAAAAAGTTAATCAAAACACAAAAATGCAAAAAATTTCACTTTAAGGATGAAAAATATCAAATTCAATAAATATTTGTGGCAAAATCCTAAAGCCACAAAGTTTACTATTCATAAGGTATGGCTTGCTTTAATATATATATATATATATATATATATATATATATATATATATATATATATATATATATATATATATATATATATATATATATATAGGGGCAGAGTATTAGTAGGGCCAGGAGGGGCTGTGCCCCCCCCCCCCCCCCCCCGATATTTGGGTTATAACTAGGAAAAATTGCTCCAAAATTTTTATTATAGGCTTGTTAATTTCACAATTGAGCTGTGGCCCCTCCCGATTTCTTCATAGTCCAATTTCCAAACAAAAGACTGAAGCGGCAAGAAGTGAAATCAGTTCCTGAGTTTCGTCTGAGGTCCGATCCAGGGGCGGAGTATTAGTAGGGCCAGGAGGGGCTGTGGCCCCCCCTGATATTTGGGTTATAACTAGGAAAAATTACTCCAAAATTTTTATTATAGGCCTGTTAATTTCACAATTGGGCTGTGGCCCCTCCCGATTTCTTCATAGTCCAATTTCCAAACAAAAGACTGAAGCGGCAAGAAGTGAAATCAGTTCCTGAGTTTCGTCCGAGGCCCGATCGTCCCCATCAACCATCGTCGCTCGCGCCTCGCTGGAGTCTGGATGCTTGCTGTATCGCGACTCGCTGTCTCCGACTCTCCGGTCTCGCCAATCGCCATTCACTGATTCACCGCAGCAGCCGGCACTCACCGGAAATCAGGTATTCGTTCTTTCTTCTCCGGAGAATCTTGTGATTTCTGATTTGGGAATCCGGGATTAGGAATTAAGAGTGTATGTAAGGGTCGTTCTTGACTTCTTTCTTCTCCAGTTCTCCTGTTGTGATTTCTGATTTGGGAATTGGGATTAGAAATTAGGAGTGTATATAAGGAATTAGGACTACCGAATATGCTCCTGTGTTTGTTCACTTGTTGACTTTTTGTGATTTGGGAATCAATTCAATCTTCTCCTGTGTTTGTTCAGTTGCTGACTTTTTGTGATTTGGGAATCAAATCAATGTTGATTAATAGTTTGTAAATTGTAATTTGTTACAGATTTTAGATTAGGTATTGTTTTCACCTTTGATTTCAATTTTCAGTTTTTAGATACTGTTAAATGAGTTATTCTGTAATTGCAGATTTTTGTTATTTGTTATTGTTTTTACACATTGTTGAATCATTAGTTCCTTATTTTTTTTTATAGACACAATCATGGTAAAGATGAAAACCTTAGATTATTTTTACAAATGAAAGGTTAATGATGAAGAAACTCATAATGAAAGTGAAGAGAGTAAACGTCGGGTTGAGTTGTAATTCTTTTTTAGGTGTTTTTGGCGTTTGTTTGTTGAAAACAATTTTTTTTGTGTAAGAACGTTAATTTTAGTTTATAATAATTTCGCCCTCCCCAAATTAATTGTTCAAGCTCCGCCACTATATATATATATATATATATATATATATATATATATATATATATATATATATATATAATAATAATAATAATTAAAAAAGAAGGTAAGCCAAAACAAAAGGAAAGAAAAACAAAAAGAAAAGGTGGTAAACAATCTCCAGATGCCCGCTATTACATTTCTTACGAAATTCCAACAAAATTGTAATTTTAATATTTATTAAATTTAGTTGGTATTTTGTAGGAAACTTCTGACGCTTTTCCGACGAAATCTTTAAGGTATCTATTTCTGTAGGAAATTTGTAAGATTTTTTTTGGATTCTACTTTTGTGGTAAGTTTGTAGGAAATTCGATGCATATTTCCTAGAAAACACTTTGAAATATTTTGTAGCTAAAACCAAATATTTTAGTAGCATATATTTAAACCTTTATTGGAGAATTGAGGCTATTTGGAATGAAAACATTTTAATATTTGTGATTGTGTATATTTCTAACAGTTTTTTTTTTCCTGAAAGATTCGAATTCAAAAACACGTTATCTTTAGAATTCATGTGAATCATATATGATTGCAACTTGCAACGTGGTTAACTTTTGTCCATATCTTTACTATGATAATAATTGAAAGACAAAACTGTACAAATGGTCCCTGTGGTTAGCTCAAAATTGTCACTTTGGTCCAAAAAAGTTTGAACTAGCACTTGAGGTCCAAACTTTTCATTTTGTTGCAAGTTTGGTCCGATTAGATTTGCACTTTTTTGTATTGACGATTTTGCCCCGTATTATTTTATTTATTATTTTTCTTTTATTACAACAATTTAAAAACAATTAAGAAAAAACTAAAAATAAAATACCCCTAACATCTCTCTCTCTCTCTCTCTCTCTCTCTCTCTCTCTCTCCTCTCTCTCTCTCTCTCTCTCTCTCTCTCTCTCTCATGTTCTTCATTTCTACTTCAAAATACTCATTTCCCTCAAATCTGCCATGTACGATGGCCCACAAATCCACCATCATCGAGACCAACAAGGTTTATCTGTTTTCCAACAACATATATATTCAGAAAATTGTCACTTCTCTGACGACGTTGATGATCCGACGAGCATAGAGATGAACAAATCTGACGAAATATCTAGGGTTTGTTGAGGTGGTGGCGTCGACGAAGGCTCGGGTTCGGACGACACACTGGTTTGAGAAACGTCGTAGGGGTTGGGGTTTTGCTGTTTAGGGTTTGAAAAGCATTGTATGGTAGCTCAAACATGAAGATCTATTGTCACCGTCGTTTTTTTGGATTTGAACAGATCTAGCGAGATATCTGACGGCGTTTAGGGTTTCAGCCGTCCATTTCTCTCCTTCTCCAGCGAGGTGCCATTATTTGCAAAAACCCTAGCGCCGCCACCCTGTAGTTTTTTGAAACCCTAGATTTCCAGATCTATTGTCACCCTCGTTTTTTGCTTCGATCCACAGACGTGAAGATCTGGAAATCCTTGGTTTTTTGCTTCGAACAACAGATGGATTAAAGATGATTTTGCTCCGACGAGTGTTGTACACAGGTTTATGTGTTGGGTCTTGTATATCAGATTTCTAGTTTTGTATATCAGATCTTCTTGAACAGATGTATGGATGTATTTGATATCATCTGTGGTTAACCATTTCTAGGTTTTTAATGTGTTCTTATATGTTAGATTTCTAATTTTTGTGTGTTTGTTCAGAGAGAGAGAGAGAAAGAGAGAGAGAGAGAGAGAGAGAGAGATTATGTATGTGTGTGGTGTTCATTGGAGCTAGGTAAACTTTCCGATGACTGAAGGTTCTGGCGATTAAGGTTACAAAGGAAGCTTCAGTGTTGACGGTGGTGGTGGTTGGTGTTGGTGGCGGCGGTGATGTTGACCGGTGGTGGTGTTGGTCTTTTGCATTGTAAAAGAGAGAGAGGAAAGGATAGGAGTAATATTTTATTTTTTATTTTCTTTTAATCATAAAAATATTTAAATAAATAAAATAGAAACTGAAAAAGAAAAGAAGTAAGGGTAAAATTGTCATTATAAAAAAGTTCAAAACAAATTGGACCAAATTTGCAACAAAATGAAAAGTTTGGACCTCTGGTGCTAGTCCAAACTTTTTTGAACCAAGTGAAAATTTTGAGCTAGGACCATTTGTGCAGTTTTGTCTAATTGAAATCGTTCTCCTCGAGTACCTGTGCATCCCTTTCATCAACATAAAACAATTATTGATATCACTCTGTAGATCCACTCCACCACCGGACCTTTACTATATTCTCCGCCCTTACAACAATGGCTGAAATAGTACTTTCTTCCTTCTTCTCGGTGTTATTTGAAAAGCTAGCCTCTGATTCGTTGAAGAAGCTCACTCGCCTTAAGGGAATTGATTCCGAGATCAAGAAACTGAAGAGATCATTAAACCAGATCAAATTGCTGTTTAATGATGCTTCTCGTAAGGAAATAACTGATGAAAGTGTTAAAGAGTGGCTTAATGGTCTCCAGCATCTGGCTTACGACATTGACGACCTACTTGACGATTTGGAAACTGAAGCTATACATCGTGAGTTATCCAAGGAACGTGGAGCCTCCATAAACATGGTAAGAAATTTCATTCCGACTTGTTGCACAAATTTCTCAGTAAGTACAAGTATGCATAGCAAGTTGGATGATATTACCACCAAGTTACAAGAACTGTTCGAGGAAAAAGAAAATATTGGTTTAAGTGTGAGAAGTGAAAGCCCAAAACAGATGAACAGACGATTACAGACCTCTTTGGTTGATGCATCTAGTATTGTTGGGCATGAAGGTGAAAAGGATGCGTTGCTCCACAAGCTACTCCGGGATGAACCATGTGATAAAAACTTTAGCATCGTGCCCATAGTTGGTATGGGTGGGGTAGGTAAGACCACTCTAGCTAGACTTTTGTATGATGAAATGCAAGGGAATGCTCACTTCGAACTCAAAGGCATGGGTTTGTGTTTATGATGAATTTTGTAAGAAAATAAACTAGTTTTCTTTTGTGGTGCAAGGAACACGGAAACAGAAGAAGAATGTAGTGGAAGAAAACTTGCTCTTAAAGTTAAAACAAAGAAAGAACTAGTAATTGCATTAAAACAAATGACGCCTACTTTTATACTAATTAATTAGATACCTTATGAACCTCTAAAACCATAAAAAAAAGACTTCGACTCTTATTCTAAAACTAGGAAACAAAACTAATAAAAAAGAAACTTTCCTATTGCTTTTCAAATAACCGATTAACCCAACAATCACCCCCTTAATCGGTTTGGTCATACGAGCCACTCGTTCAAAACAATGCCGGTTCCTCTTCGATTAGACCCGCTTCTTCCTTTTCCCATTTAGGACACTCGTTTTTATAGTGACCAAGCTCACCACATTTGTAACATCTAACGTGACTTTTATCCCGGACACGTTCATTACCATCTCGACTTCTCCCGGACCCCCGACCTCTTCCCCGGCCACGTCCAAAGTCATCCCGATTTGAACGTTCATTGCCACAATGCTTACAAACATGTGACTTTTCGTCACTAGCCAACAACAGCCCACCTTGAGTGTCCTCCACTTTCTCGGTTCCTCTTATACGCTCCTCGTATGCCTTCAATCTACCAACCGCTTCATCGAATAACATTGAATCCAACTCGAAACATTGCTCTATTGAAGCCACGATTTGGAGAAACGACTTAGGCATCGAATCTAGTAACCTTTTTACCAAATCACCTTCTTCAAGCTCATATCCAAGACTCCTTGCTTTTGACGCTAAACCGGATAATTTTGTCACAAAATCATCAACCGTTTCATCCTCCTTCATGCGTAAACTTTCAAGCTCCCTTTTTAAGGTTGCAAGTCGAGCTGTTCTTACCCGATCCACTCCCAAATACCGTGTTTTTAGCCCATCCCACACTTGTTTTGGGTCGGTGTAACTCGCCATTTGCAACACCATGTCTTCGGGTATCGCTTGAAACAAAAAGGCAAGAGCTTGTTTTGACTTCTTTTGATCTGGTGCTTTATCTAACGTTTTCGGTTCGACCGTCTCCCATATGCCATGTGCATCCATAATCGACTTGACTTTAACCGCCCACACCGGATAATTCGTTGGAGTCAAAACCGGAACTTGATATGTCAACGAACCTCCTTCTTTAACCAACGACATCCTTTTCTCCTTAACCCCGACTTCTTTAATCAAGCTTGTTCCGAGAGCACTCTTCCACCGGACAACAAGACAAGGTCACGACCACCTTTACCGTCTTCCGTCACCCGCAAAACGAACCGAATCAAAGCCACCCGCTTTGACGTCTTCCCGTTCGTTTACTCCGCGCCTCCGGTTAGTCTCTCATAAGCCCGATTAAAAGAAATCGGGGTTGTTTCTAATCAACCTCGAATCACACCCCCTTCAACGAAACCGCGCTCTGATACCAAGTGTAAGAAAATAAACTAGTTTTCTTTTGTGGTGCAAGGAACACGGAAACAGAAGAAGAATGTAGTGGAAGAAAACTTGCTCTTAAAGTTAAAACAAAGAAAGAACTAGTAATTGCATTAAAACAAATGACGCCTACTTTTATACTAATTAATTAGATACCTTATGAACCTCTAAAACCATAAAAAAAAGACTTCGACTCTTATTCTAAAACTAGGAAACAAAACTAATAAAAAAGAAACTTTCCTATTGCTTTTCAAATAACCGATTAACCCAACAAATTTGATATCTTAAATATAAGTAAAGTTATCTTTCAATCGATAGGCGGGGAAAACAAAGAATTTAAGGACTTAAATCTTCTTCAAGTAGCTTTAAAAGAGAAGATCTCAAAGAAAAGATTTCTTCTTGTTCTTGATGATGTGTGGAGTGAAAGCTATACCGATTGGGAAATTCTAGAACGGCCATTTCTTGCAGGGGTACCTGGAAGTAAGATTATCATCACCACCCGGAAGCTGTCGTTGCTAACCCAGTTAGGTTACAATCAACCTTACAGTCTCTCGGTTTTATCACATGACAATGCTGTATCTTTATTTTTTCAACATGCATTCGGTGAAAATAACTTTGATTCACATCCAACACTTAAACCACATGGTGAAGGTATTGTCGAAAAATGTGATGGCCTGCCATTGGCTTTGATAGCACTTGGGAGGTTATTGAGGACAAAAACAGATGAGGATGAATGGAAGGAACTTTTGAATAGTGAGATATGGAGCTTAGGAAAGAGAGATGAAATTACTCCAGCTCTTAGACTAAGCTATCATGATCTTTCTTCCAATTTGAAGCTGTTGTTTGCATATTGTTCCTTGTTCCCTAAGGACTACATGTTTGACATAGAGGAATTGATTCTATTATGGATGGCAGAAGGGTTTTTGCGTCAATCAACGAAAGGGAAATCAATCGAACGCATGGGTGTTGAATGTTTTGAAGACTTGTTATCAAGGTCATTTTTCCAACATGCACCCAATGACAAATCGTTATTTGTGATGCATGACCTGATGAATGACTTAGCCATGTCTGTTGCTGGAGAATTTTTTTCAAGGTTATACATTGAGATGAAGAAGGAAATTGGGAAGGATGATCCGGGTAAGTGTCGCCATATGTCATTTGTTTGTGAGAAGTATATGGTTTACACAAAGTTCGAGGCATTCAAAGGAGCTAATAGTTTGAGAACATTCTTAGCATTATCTTCTGAGCGAAACAGTTGGCAACAATTCCACTTATCAAATAAAATTCTGACAGACTTAGTTCGTGATTTACCATTATTAAGGGTCTTAAGTTTCAGTGAACTTAGCATAAGCGAGGTACCAGAATTCATTGGCAGTCTAAAGCACTTGCGGTATCTTAATTTATCTAGAACTGAAATTACACATTTGCCTGATAATGTCTGTGACCTTTATAATTTACAGACATTGATTGTTTCTGGCTGTTATAGTTTGAAAAAGTTGCCTGAGAACTTCTCAAAGCTTAAAAAATTGCGGCATTTTGACATGAGGGATACACCGCTTTTGAAGAAGATGCCATTAGGGATTGGTGAGTTGAAAAGCCTACGGACTCTCTCTAAGATCATTATTGAAGGAGACAACGGCTTTTCAATAACCAAGCTTAAAGATCTAAAGGATCTCCAAGGTAAAATTTCCTTTCAAGGGCTTGACAAAGTGCAAAGCCGAATGCAGGCACAAGAAGTGAACTTATCCCACATGAGGCTAAGTGAGTTAGAGGTGGAATGGAGTGATGTATTTGATAATTCTCGAAAGGAAGTAGTTGAACAGGAGGTCCTGAATGTGATGAAGCCTCGTAACGAAAATCTAAAACACCTCAGCATTGTGTCATATGGAGGTACAAAGTTTCCGAGTTGGGTTGGGGATCCCTCATTTCATCGGTTGGCTGAAGTGACATTAAATGGTTGTAAAAAGTGTACATCTCTACCGCTACTTGGCCAGCTACCATCACTTAAGGAGTTGTATATTGAAGGCATGGATGAGGTGAAAGTTGTGGGTTTGGAGTTTCTTGGGACTACTGGTCTTGCATTCCCATCACTTGAAAATCTAACTTTTCGAGGTATGAAATGTTGGAATCTTAATTCCTTAATCCCTCCACTCCTGTCTTCCAGTCCTAAAAGCTAACACAATTTCTGGAACAAAGTAGGGGACGTCATCAAAGAGTGGTTGGGTCTCTTTACTTGTTTAATATTATAAGCTTACTCCAGCTTATATATATATATATATATATATATATATATATATATATATATATATATATATATATATATATATATATATATATATATAGCATATATCGAGTTATGAGTATGCAGAGCAACACAAAACACATTGTAAACCAATTGGTTTTTGAGTGATATTTCCAATTATAAATCAAAGAGATATTTTGATATATTTATCTGTGTTTTTTTACAATCTCTATACTAGAATTGGTATCAGAGCTTTCGAAATCAGTCAAGGGGAGCTGTGAAAGCTTTGAATTACCTGGTGATCAAGAAGGACACCAGTAAAGATGTCAGACAAAGAAGGAGATGGTGGTGATGCTGGTCCGGCTCCGGTGAAACTCAAAGAGATAGGATCAACCACAGTGGCTTGCCCGATGTTGAATTCCACAAATTACACCGTATGGTCCCTGCGTATGAAAGTTGTACTTCGAATTCATAAAGCCTGGACCATAATCGATCCAGGAGAAGAGAAGAATGATGAAAAGAATTACCTTGCCATGGGATTGCTGTATCAAGCAATCCCTGAGAGCTTGATAATGCAGATAGGGGACGTCGATGAAGCGAAGGTCCTCTGGGAGTCGATTAGGGCTCGACATGTTGGAGCCGACAGAGTAAAAGAGGCTCGACTTCAAACTCTCACCGCCGATCTAGACCGACTGAAGATGCAGGAGACAGAGACGATAGACGCTTTCGCCGGAAAGCTCGCTGGAATCGCCTCGAAGTCAGCGTCACTGGGAGAACCCATCGGAGAAACGAAACTCGTGAAGAAACTCTTGACGGTGGTACCTCATCGGTTCATTCAAATCGTTGCCTCCCTCGTGCAAGTGCTTGACTTGAAGACAGTATCCTTCGATGACGTCGTAGGGCGTCTGAAAGCGTATGAAGAAAGAATCAAAGCAGATGAAGGCGGAGACGGGCAACAAAGGGTGTTGATGGCTAGAACGAGTGGTGGTGGTGGATGGAGAAATGATGGCGGTGGAGGTTCTGGATCGTCGGGGAAGACGAATTGGGGAAAACGGGGGAAGGGTTCTAATGGCACCGAGTCGGGAGGCTTTAATCGAAATGGGTCAAGCGGGTCGGGTGGTGGATTCGGGTCAGTAGGATCCAGTGGGTCAGGCCCAAAAGGAAATAGACCCAATTCGGCCCAAAACAATAATAAGCCCAATAACCGGCCCAATTCCAATTCGGACTCAAACCGAAACCCGAAAAAAGATCTGTCGAAGATTATATGCTACAGATGTGACAAGTCGGGCCATTACGCATCCAAATGTCCGGACCGAACCCAAAAATTCCAAGAAAGTAATTTTACCGAACATGACGATGCCGATGAAACAGTATTTTTACACGAGACCGTATTTTTGAACGAAGAGAAGGTGATACCGTCTCGATACAACTCACAAGAAAACGATGTGTGGTATTTGGATAACGGGGCGAGTAATCACATGACGGGAAATCGTTCATTTTTCTCCGAACTCGACGAAGGAATAACCGGAAAGGTTAAATTCGGTGATAATTCGTGTGTCGAAATAAAAGGGAAAGGCTCAATTCTTTTCCAAGGAAAATCGGGGCAGCAACGTTTGATGACAGAAATATATTTTATACCGGATCTGAAAAATAATATTTTCAGTTTCGGTCAAGCAACCGAAGCCGGGTGTGATATTCGGATGAAAGACGAATATTTGACAATGCATGATGCCGACAACTGCTTGTTAATGAAGGTACAAAGAACTCCAAACCGCCTTTATAAAATACAGTTGCCCATTGGAGTACCTATTTGCCTTCATACAAGACTGAGTGAAGACACGTGGCGCTGGCATGCAAGACTTGGACACATCAATTTCGAGTCAATGAAAAAGATGTCCAAGAAAGGTCTAGTCAAAGGGTTACCCCATTTTGACAGTGAAAATCAATTGTGTGAATCTTGTTTGGTGGGCAAGCAAACAAGAAAGTCATTTCCATTAATGACGACGTACAAAGCAACACGGCCATTGGAGCTAGTTCACGGTGATTTATGCGGTCCGATAACACCGTCAACGAAGGGTCAAAATCGGTACATTTTCACACTAATTGAAGATTTTTCACGGTATATGTGGATTTTTCTCTTAAAAGAGAAAAATGAGGCGTTTTTACACTTCAAAAAATTTAAAGCTTTGGCGGAGAATAAACTCGGAAAGTCTTTAAAGGTGTTTCGAAGTGATCGAGGAGGTGAGTTTACTTCGCTCGAGTTTAATTCCTTTTGTGATATGAATGGAATCAAACGCCATCTTACCGCCCCATATTCACCACAACAAAACGGTATTGTGGAACGAAGAAACATAATACTTATGGACATGACACGAAGTATCATGAAGGCGATGCATGTTCCAAACTATCTATGGGGAGAAGCGGTAAAACATTCCACAAACCTGATCAACCGTGTTTACACAAGAGTACTTGGTGATACAACTCCGTACGAGAAGTTGTATAAAAGAAAACCTAATTTGGAGAACGTACGCATCATTGGGTGTTTAGCGTATGCAAAAGTTGAACCGGTAAACGTGAAAAAATTGGATGCAAGATCAAGACCATTGGTTCATCTTGGTTCTGAACCGGGTACAAAAGCCTATCGGTTATTTAACCCGGTTACACAAAAAATAATCGTAAGTCGAGACGTTATTTTTAATGAAACCAAAGGATGGAATTGGGTTAACGAAGCTACACCTGACAATGAAGAACCAGGATCATTCATAGTACCATGGGATTTACCGGAAGATGAGGCAAACAACAACCAAGGAAACAATGTAAACAACGAACCAAACGAATCGGATCACGAGATTGAAGACGGAGTGGAGGTACAAGAAAATGAGCAACCAATTCCGATCAACAACAACGTGAACAATGTTCAAAACCAAAGGCCCACAAGACAAAAGGTGCTTCCAATTCGATTACGAGATTATGTACTTTATGTTGATGAAATTGAAGAACTTCTAGCAACCAATGACGAGCCGGTATCGGTTGAAGAGGCGAAGAAAGAACCAGAGTGGGTCAAAGCCATGAATACAGAAATCAATTCGATCAACAAGAACAATACTTGGTCTCTCGTAAACAAACCTATGGGGGTGAAGCCCATCGGACTCAAATGGGTGTTCAAGCTGAAGAAAAATGCAGATGGCACCATAAACAAACACAAGGCGAGGTTGGTTGCTAAAGGGTACGTACAACAACCTGGTATTGACTTTCAAGAAGTATTTGCTCCGGTAGCTCGCATCGAAACCATACGGTTTCTCATTGCCTTAGCCGCTACCAATGGATGGGAGCTTCACCACTTGGATGTCAAGACGGCTTTCTTACATGGAGAGTTGAGAGAAACCGTCTATGTGTATCAACCGAAAGGCTACATAAGGAAAGGCGACGAGCACAAGGTGTACCGTCTTTCAAAGCACTATATGGTCTTAGACAAGCACCGAGAGCATGGAATACAAAACTTGATGATATTTTGAAAGGAATGAAATTTCACAAGTGCATGAAAGAACCATCGGTGTACCGGAAGAACGAAGGATCCAACTTGCTAATTTTAGCAATCTATGTTGATGATTTGTTTGTCACAGGTACAAATTTGAGCATGATCAAAAGGTTCAGATTTGAAATGTCCAAGAACTTCGAGATGTCTGATCTTGGAAGATTAACTTACTACCTGGGCATTGAAGTCAAACAGGATGAATCGGGGATTACAATAAACCAAGAAGCGTATGCACAACGCATTCTGAAGGAAGCCGGTTTACATGATTGCAATCCTACCCACATTCCCATGGATCCAGGAACCAAAATGTCGAAGGCCGAAGATGAACCCGAAATCGACCCGACACAATACCAAAAGTTGGTAGGATGCCTTAGATATCTCTTGCAGACAAGACCCGATATGACATATGCGGTTGGAGTTATTAGTCGATACATGCAAGATCCAAGAGAATCACATGGTGTTGCAATCAAACACATCCTAAGGTATTTACGAGGAACAACGGGATACGGAATCAAGTACGAGAGGATGGGACAAAATCGAATAATTGGTTACAGTGATAGTAGTCATAATGTTGATCCAGATGACGGAAGAAGCACAACTGGTCATATTTTCTACTATGGGTTGTCTCCAATAACATGGTGTTCGCAAAAGCAAGATACTGTTGCTTTATCATCTTGCGAGGCAGAGTTCATGGCAGCCACTGCGGCTGCATGTCAAGCAATATGGCTTCAAGATTTGCTGGGAGAAATCTTGAACAAAACGCAAGAGAAGGTGGTTCTTAGAGTTGATAACAAGTCGGCTATCGAACTAACAAAGAATCCCGTTTTTCACGGAAGAAGTAAACACATTCACACTAGGTTTCACTTCATTCGTAAGTGTGTTGAAAAGGAACAAGTGGAGGTGAAGTACATTCCAGGTGAAGAACAAAAGGCAGACATTCTCACAAAACCATTGGCTCGAACCAAGTTCAAGACAATGCGGGACTTGATCGGGATTGAAGACATCTCTAGAAGGACTTAGAGATTCGGGGGTGATTGTTGGAATCTTAATTCCTTAATCCCTCCACTCCTGTCTTCCACTCCTAAAAGCTAACACAATTTCTGGAACAAAGTAGGGGACATCATCAAAGAGTGGTTGGGTCTCTTTACTTGTTTAATATTATAAGCTTACTCCAGCTTATATATATATATATATATATATATATATATATATATATATATATATATATATATATATATATATATATATATATATATATATATAGCATATATCGAGTTATGAATATGCAGAGCAACACAAAACACATTATAAACCAATTGGTTTTTGAGTGATATTTCCAATTATAAATCAAAGAGATATTTTGATATATTTATCTGTGTTTTTTTACAATCTCTATACTAGATGAAAGGGTGGGAGGCATGGTCAACCAATAATAATGCGGTTGTCGGTACAACATTTCCATGCCTTCAAGAGCTTTGGTTATATGGTTGTCCTAATTTGGTTGGAGTCTCAATTGAAGCATTACCATCGCTGAGAGGTCTAAGTATATATGATTGTGGTCATGAGGTGTTGACAAGTCTGGTTCGCCTAGCTTCATCGATCACTAACTTGGATATAAGTCGTATTTCAGGACTTAATGATCAGGTGTGGGGAGGTATTATAGAGCATCTTGGGGCAGTTGAGGAAGTAAGGATCACAGGGTGTAATGAAATAAGATACCTGTGGGAATCAGAAGCAGAGGCAAGTAAGGTTCTTGTGAATTTAAGGACGTTGTTTGTAAATAATTGTTCAAATTTGGTGAGTTTAGGAGAGAAAGAGGAGGATAATTGTGGGAGCAACCTACCATCTCTTACAACCTTGGCCGTATGGAATTGTAAAAGCTTGGAGCATTGCAGCTGTCCAAATAGCCTTAAGTCACTTACCATCCAATTTTGTAATAAATTAATGGAAAAGGAGTTGGTAGGAGGACAAGAGAAGACTAAGGCACTGATCAGTTCGAACATATTGATGCTTGAATCTGTAGTTATAATTGATTGGCCAGATCTGAAATCGGTAACTGATTTGAGTTCCTTCAATCACCTCAGCCATCTCTTTATAGACAATTGTCCAAATATGGAGTCATTTCCTGACCACGAGTTGCCAAAACTCAGTGTGTTAACACATCTAAGGATAGTAGATTGTCAAAGCTTGGATGCTTCCTTTTCTGGTGGGCTTTGGCCTCCAAAATTGTGTCGCCTTGAAATAGGGGGGTTGAAGAAGCCCATTTCAAAGTGGGGCCCACAGATTTTTCCAACTTCACTTGTGAGCATAAATAAGAGGTGGAAAGTCGGAAGATGTGAGTAATTTCAGTCATTTGACCCATCTTCTTCCTTCATCTCTTACTACTTTTGATATATATAGATTTGAGAAACTGGAATCAATTTCAATGGAACTCCAACACCTCACCTCGCTCCAGCATCTCTCCATTTCTAATTGCCCAAAGACCATAAATCTACCAGAAATGTTGTTGCCTTCACTTTTGAGTTTGATGATATTTAAATGCCCAAATCTTGAAGAAAGGTGTAGTAAAAGAGGCTCCTACTGGCCCCTCATCTCACATATCCCCCTCATTCATATATCCTGAGGAGTTACAAACTTAATCTGAAGGTATGCTCCTCCCTCTGCAGTTGAAAAATTATAAATATAATAACTGATTTTGCTTTCTTTCAATCAACAAAATTGAAATACTATATCAACATAAACATATATACACCGCACTTCCAAACATGATGATACAAGAAAATGTAAGCCCGTCCCTCTGCCTTTGACTTCTTTTGGTTTATCTACACATAAATTTAATAATACAGTTTGCATTTTCTATAAAGCAGCCCATAGAGATTTTCTTAGCATAAAGTATGTTTATCACATAAAATAAATTTGTATGTCAATATCAGGAAGCTTTTTTGTTGAAAAATATCATTTAGTTGTGAACATGGAAAGGCTATGATGGATTGCAAAATATTAGAACAAAATGGTGGGGCTGATTTCATCTTGTATGCTTATTAATGTTATCAATTATTATTCACAAGTCTTACCTAGCCCCTTTATCGGAATATCATTTAGTTTTTCTGAGATTAAATCACTTCATCTTTGTCGGTTGGAAAATGAAATGATGTGCATCGTATATGCAGTGTAGACCTAGCATAGTTCAAGTAAATGAATATTCAAGAATTTACATGTTACATCATCCCATTTGCATAAATTTTAGTGTTAAAGAAGCTTTAATTATCGTGAATCAATGTGTTCTAAAGATTTCACGGATAAATATGTGAGACCTGTTTCAGATTATCATGTTAATTTCCTTGTTCTTATTTTTGTATAAACTTTCAAGTGCAGGTAAGTGCGAGCAGAAACCGATACATTCCTGATTTCTGCATATGCATCTCTACAAGTTGTATATGAAACATTAGAATCTCATCTATATATGTATCAATAATGGGAAAATAAATAAATACAAGGGGTTTATTACTTGTATTTTATTTAACAAAATAGAAAGGAGAAATCATTTTTAATTATTACCATTTATTTGCAAGAGTTTTTTGAACAAACAGAGTGCGTTGTATTTTCATTTTAACGGTGAAGACAGATTACTTTTGAGGTGCTCTCTCTTGCTTTTCTTTTTGTTTAATTAGATCATCGAGCTTCCCTCTTTATATTTATTTCAGTTACAGCTTTTAGCTACTTGTTTTTTCATTTCACAAGTTAATCTAAAGAGGGAACTAACCAGGAATATACCCATGTGATTTGACGCATGATGCATCGATTGACAGCGTATGATGAGAGATTTGCAATTTTCGTAGCATGCTTGTTAATTGCCTATAATAAGGTTGGGTTGTTCATTTAACCAACTTAAGTATGGTACTTTAAAATTTTAGTTCTTATTTGGTCATTGTATGTTGAGTGGTGAAGCCACTTGTTTAGTGGCAGACAAAAGTAAAGGCAGAAAACATGCAAGAAATCATGGCACCATGTTTCACGGATCATGATTAGCAGCTACTTTTGACAACTTGCAATTTCAATCTCTATATATATTAATCATATGTATTTGTAAACGGTGTACCAAGATCAATAGAATATATTCCTAGTTACCAAGAGTGGACGTAGGTCAGAAATTCGACCGAACCACTATAAATCATTGTGTTCTTGTTTTTCTATAATTTGTGAGCTGAGAGAGAGAGTTTCGTGTTAGTGTCTCGATCCTAACAAGTGGTATCAGAGCGTTGGTTTAGCTCCAGAAGGTGATTTTCAGTTTTTTGGTCGAAATTTGTTTTCGTCAAAAACGATTTTGGTGTATACCGTTGGAAAGGTCTCGTTCCGAAGATTTCGAAAATATTTTTTTCTGAATTTTTCGACCACCGGAAGACGTCCAAATCGCCGGTCAAAGGTTAGCCGGAATAGTGACCGGGAAAACCAGTTCGCCGGAGAAGACGACACTGTAGCGCCGGAGCCTTGCCGGAGAAGACGACACTGTATGCCGGAGCCTTGCCGGAGAAGACGACACTGTACGCCGGAGACCTGCCGGAGAAGACGACACTGTAGCGACACTTTAGCGACACTGTAGCGTCACTGTAGCAGAATTTGAAAAACTCAGATTTGGTCCCTGAAGTTTCAGAAAATTGCAAAGACAGGTCCTGAAGTTCCAGAAAATTGCAAGACAGGTCCCTGAAGTTTCAGAAAATTGCAAGACAGGTCCCTGTTCTTTCAGAAAATTGCAAAAATGGCAGAAGATGGTAAAATCAAAATTGACAAGTTTGATGGAACCGATTATGGATTTTGGAAGATGCAAATTGAAGATATGTTGTATCAGAAAAGTTTGCATTTGCCTATGCTGGGCGAACAACCGGATGACATGTATGATGAAGAATGGAAGTTGTTGGATCGACAAGCCTTGGGTGTAGTTAGGCTTTCATTGGCAAAGAGTGTTGCGTATAACATTGTTAATGAAACAACTACTTATGGAGTATTTAAGGCTTTGTCCAACATGTATGAGAAGCCGTCCGCTTCCAACAAAGTGTTCCTCATCAAACAATTGGTTAACACCAAAATGAAGGAAGGCATGTCAGTTACCGCTCACATAAACGAGTTTAACTCGATTATCTCTCGTTTAGCCTCAGTTGCAATAAAGTTTGAAGATGAAGTACAAGCGCTCCTCCTTTTATCATCTTTGCCCGATAGTTGGTCAGGCACCGTCACAGCTGTTAGTAGTGCATCCGGCACTATTAAACTCACTTTCGAGAGTATTCGTGACTTGATTGTAAATGAAGATATCAGACGGAGAAGCAATGGTGAGGCTTCTAGTTCTAGTTCTAGTTCTTTATTGCATACAGAAAGTAGAGGAAGAAGAAACGAAAGAGGACGTAGTCGAGGCAGATCAAAGTCTAGAAAAAGGGGGCAGTCCAAGAACCGAAAAGATATTGAATGTTGGAATTGCAAAGAAAAAGGTCACTTTAGAAACCAATGTCCAAAACCACAAGCTGAAAAGAAAGAAGTACACAATGTATCCTCTGAAGAATCGGGAGATTTTCTCATATGTTGTGTTGAGAATTCAATGGAATCCTGGATTATGGATTCGGGTGCTTCTTTCCATGCTGTCTCATGCCCAGATATGGTCAAGAACCTACAAACAGGTGACTTTGGCAAAGTTAGTTTGGCCGATGATCAAGTGCTTGATATTACGGGTATAGGAGACGTAGATTTGAAGACCTCCATGGGAACCACCTGGACATTGAAAGATGTCAGGGTTATCCCAAACTTAAGGAGAAAGTTGATTTCAGTTGGTAAGTTGGATGATGAAGGACTTGATGTTCACTTTGGGGGTGGACAATGGAAAGTGATCAAAGGCAACTTGGTGATTGCCAAAGGAAAGAAGAAAGGCACTCTATACATGGTAGAGATACCTGGTGATGGTGTTCATGCAGTAACCACCAATCCGAGTCCATCTAATTTATGGCACCAACGACTCGGACACATGAGCGATAAGGGATTGAAGATGTTGGCTCAGAAAGGAAAGTTTCCAGACTTGAAGAAAGTCGAAACTGAATTTTGTGAATCTTGTGTTCTCGGGAAACAAAAGCGGGTTACTTTTGTAAAAACGGGGAAGACACCGAAAGCTCAGAAGTTGGAGCTTGTTCACTCGGATGTATTTGGACCAACACCAGTTTCATCTCTAGGAGGCAAAAACTACTATGTAACCTTTATCGATGATTCAACACGCAAGGTATGGGTCTATTTTCTTAAAAATAAATCTGATGTATTTGATACTTTTAAGATATGGAAATCTGCTGTTGAAAATGAAACTGATTTGAAGGTAAAATGCCTGAAGTCGGATAATGGTGGTGAATACATAAGCAAGGAGTTTGTTGACTATTGTGCCAAGCAAGGGATAAAGATGATCAAGACGGTCCCAGGAACCCCTCAGCAGAATGGTGTAGCTGAAAGAATGAATAGAACTCTGAATGAAAGGGCTAGAAGCATGAGGTTGAATTCTGGTTTACCTAAGACATTTTGGGCTGATGCAGTTAATACTGCAGCCTACTTGATCAACCGTTCACCGTGTGTTCCCTTGGATTTTAAATTACCAGAAGAAATGTGGCAAGGGAAGGAAGTAAGTCTTAAACACCTGAAAGTCTTTGGTTGTACTGCTTACAGTTTGTTAAAAGATGGTGACAGGGATAAACTTGATTCAAAGACCAAGAAGTGTACATTCATTGGTTATGGGTCGGATGAAATGGGTTACAGGCTTTGGGATAGTGAGAGCAGAAAGATAATCCGAAGCAAGAATGTCACCTTTAACGAAGCCGAGTTATACAAAGACAGAAACAACAAAAGTCCAGAAGATCAGAAGGAGTATGTTGAGTTTGAAGGTGTTGAAAAGAAGAAAGAAGCTCCAGTCGAAATCCCTGAATCTGGGGATGATTCAACTGACAGTGGGAGCTCAGGGGATAATTCCAGTAATGATTCTGAAGATGAAGAAACCAGTCCTCCAACTCCAGAGTCCCCAGTCACACCTCAAGTTCAACTAAGAAGATCTTCCAGAGTCACAAGACCACCAAACAAATACTCACCATCTGTCAACTACATTCTTTTGACAGAAAACGGTGAACCCCAGTGTTACTCTGAAGCTATAGGGTTGAAAGATTCATTGCAGTGGGAGCTAGCAATGAAAGATGAAATGAAGTCGCTTGAGAAGAACAACACATGGCACTTAACAAAGCTTCCAGTTGGGAAGAAGGCTCTTCAGAATAAATGGGTTTTCAGGTTCAAGGATGAACATGATGGTACCAAACGGTACAAAGCAAGATTAGTAGTCAAGGGCTTTCAACAGAAAGAAGGAATTGATTTCAATGAAATATTCTCTCCAGTAGTGAAGATGACCACTATCAGACTTGTTCTCAGTATTGTAGCAGCAAAAAGTTTGCATCTAGAGCAACTAGATGTCAAGACAGCTTTTCTACACGGTGACCTAGATGAAGACATTTACATGACACAACCAGAGGGTTTTCAGGATAAAGGCAAAGGAAACTTGGTGTGTAAATTGAAGAAGAGTTTGTATGGTCTGAAACAAGCACCCAGACAATGGTATTTGAAGTTCGATAACTTCATGAGAAAAGTTGGTTACAAGAGATGTGACAATGATCATTGTTGTTACATCAAGAAGTTTAAGGGTTCTTATATCATTCTACTACTCTATGTAGATGATATGTTGATTGCCGGTTCAGACATGTCAGAGATCAAGAAGTTGAAGAAACAGATGTCTGAAGAGTTCGAAATGAAAGACTTGGGAGCTGCAAAGCAAATACTCGGGATGAGTATATTCAGAAACAAAGATGGTTCTTTAACACTATCTCAAGAAAAGTACCTTGAGAAAGTATTAGAGAAATTCAGCCTTAAAGATGCCAAGATCAGAAGCACACCTTTGGGAAGTCACTTTAAGCTTTCTAAAGCTCAGTCACCCAGATCAGATGAAGACAAGAAAGAAATGGCTAAAGTTCCTTATGCATCCGCATTTGGTAGCCTAATGTATGCAATGGTATGCACGAGACCAGATATAGCTCATGCAGTGGGAGTTGTTAGTAGATTCATGTCCAATCCGGGAAGAGAACATTAGGAAGCAGTTAAATGGTTGTTGAGATACTTGAAAGGGACTTCAAAGACGGCATTAAATTTTAAGGGAAAAGACGTAGTTCTGAATGGTTATGCAGATGCAGATCTTGGTGGTTGTAAAGATTCATACAAAAGCACCACGGGGTATGTCTTTACAGTGGGCGGCACTGCAGTAAGTTGGATGTCCAAACTACAGAAAAGTGTTGCCCTTTCAACCACAGAAGCAGAGTATATGGTAGTTGCTGAAGCAAGCAAAGAGCTTATATGGTTGAAGAATTTTCTCAACGAACTTGGCAAAGAACAAGATGATTGTGCATTATTTTGTGACAATCAAAGTGCAATTCATCTTGCAAAGAATCCCGTCTTCCATTCGAAGACAAAGCACATACAGCTGAGATATCACTTCATCAGAGAAAGAATTAATGAT